TTAGGTTTTATGTTCTCATCTAATGGAGGCTCCCACAAGTCTAGTTTTCCAAGATCATTCATGGAGGCATATGAGTGATTCCTAAAGGCAAAACAATTACCAAGAAGATGGAGATCCAAGGAGAATGCATCTTACTAAGGGATCTACAATAAGTGAGAACATTCACTTTAGAAGAGAGATCTAAGGTTTACTCAAACCTTAAGGTAAGTATTCAATCTTTTAATTAAATGATACATCATGTTTTATTTTTGCATAAAACTTGTCTCTATGTAATGAATCAAGATTTATGAATTTAAATCCCTCGAAAAGTTTTTAAAACTAGCACGTTTCCCAACAAAACCAACCATAACCATCTTCCTCGCAATGAACACTTCCTCTTCCACCACAGAATCAACATTTTCTTCAATGAGCTTGTCATAAATCCAACTTGGAAAGTATGCTTCACTTGAATTGCTCGTCTCTGGTTCTACATGCTTCCTCCTTCCAACTATCTCTAACAACAGCATTCCGAAGCTATAAACATCGGATTTATGAGAAGGATTCCCAATATTTCTCATGAAAATCTCTGGAGCAATAAAGCCAATGGTTCCTCTTGCACCTGTCATTGTGACTGCACTTCGATTTCTAGAATGTACTTTTGCCAACCCGAAATCTCAAATCTTGGGATTGAAATTCTGGTCCAGCAACACATTTTGAGGCTTTATGTCAAGGTGCAAAATCCGCGAGTCACAACCGGTATGCAGGTACTCTATTCCATGTGCAACTCCTATGGCAATTTCAAGCAGCCTTGCCAAACCAAACGAAACGCTTACCTCCTCTTTGGATATTAAGTCTCCTAAAGATCCATTGGGCATGTACTCATAAACAAGAGCTTGTTTTGATCCGTCCCAACAAAATCCCAATAAATGTATGACATTAACATGGTGGATTCTACCAATGGTGGCTACTTCATTGATGAAATTGTGGCTATTGTCTCTGCGATTCTCGAGCATTTTGACAGCAATGAGCCGACCATCTGACAATTTTCCCTTGAAGACGTTGCCATAGCCACCTGCCCCTAATTTTTCTTTGAAGCCATTCGTCATTTTTCTATGTCATTGTATGGATAGTTGGTTAGCACAGTTGATTGATAGTTCTTAATGAACTGCTTTGCATTTCTCTCATCCTCTGTGGTTTGATCCTTTTTGAAATATGAGGTCTTGAAGATTGCAGAAGTTCCCTTTTTATACTTGAAAATGACCAGTGCGACTACAACAAGTAGAACAAATGAGCTTCCGGATGCAACACCTACAAGCAAGACACAGCTCAATGAGGAATTAATTAAATGCACAAAAACAAGAACCGAAACTCATTAGAACGGTGTTGTTAACAACCATCTACTCTAAAAAAAAACTTAAGCTGTTAAAGAGAGTGTAACTTTTATATTTAAATCCTTCAACACACACTCACGGATTTAACACGGGTAAGATTTGAACACAGAACCTGAAACTCATAAGGTTGCAGGGTAAAGTGATTTTGTGGCATTATGAGTAGTTTTTGGATGAGATACAAATTTCTACTTTTACCAGGTTTCTACAAGGTTAAGGATATACCTGCAATGAGCTTCCATCTACTTGATTTGTTCCTGCAAGGTTGAGAAGGAAAATAATAGACATTATGAAACATTCAACTTATCTAAATAAACGAGGATTGATGGTCTATCAAACAAAACAAGTAGTTGTGGCTACCAAGCAAAACATTTTCATTGAGAAAATGTGAAACTGAAGCAACAAAGGGCACCTGATTATGTAAATGTAATAAAATGAAGATCATAATTCGAATAAAATGAAGATCATAATTCGAGCCCAACCTTAGTTTTCTTTAGGTTGGATGGGTTCGGTTAAACAAGCCTTTTTATTATAGAAAATGGTACTAAAAAAATGATTTTATTTTTTTACAAAACATGATCATACCTAACATTCCAACTGGTATTTATTAGACTAGTATTATTAGCTGGGACTGACATTGAATCATTACTTCTAGAGGGGAGGAAAAGTGACACATCAAAGAAAGTGAGAACAACCACCATGGCTGTGGTTCCATGAGAATATATTGGTGTGTCCCGTGCACTTGGCCATCAAAGCCTTTTGTTCCTGCGTGTGTTGTGCATGGACGGACCGGACACACCAAATACCTTCTCGTGATCCTATATCATCGCATTAAATCACTTTACTTCATATACTAATGAGGATCATTAATTAATTCCGCACTGAATGCTTTAATATCAGAGTGTCATTAGTGTGAGCTCGAGTATCATAGCATTGGAAGGAACTAGAATAAAGTAATTATGATAAAGTCTACAATACTATGGGGTACTTACACGTGGTGCCCCCACTAATGAACCATCATGGAAACTCTAATTTATCTTGATACACAAGTGAAGGGGCCAGATTGGCCCTGGGTTGGGTCAGTAAAGCCAAAAATGTCTTGCGCCTATTGGCAGCCAGCAAAGACCATCCCGGACCCAATTAAAAGATCCAGTGGCTCCATAAGGACTTTGTCAGCCCAATCCACCCAGCTCAAGACGCTTTTGTCACTGTCTTGATCCAGACTCCAGTGGCATAGACAACAAGAGGAATCTCCAATCCAGTGGGCCCAAAGGGTAGTGTCCGGCCCATCAGCTCACACTTTGGGGACCAAGGAGGAGGAATAGGGCAAAATGTAAACTTCTATAAGTAGAAGTGAGAGAGACAAAGAGAGGCAAGTGGTTTGGAGTGTAATAAAATTATTTCCTAATATAGAATAACATTTTCGTGCATCTTCAGTAAGGAATTAGGAATTTTAAATAAAAAATATGAATATCCATCAGTTGGACACAACACATGATAAATGTCTCAAGGGTATTGTAAACTTTCTTGTATCATTACATCGCTTGGGAAACCGGAACTCAGTAAGGTGGCAGCCATCGCCGAGTCGGGCATTTTCAAATGTTGGAACCGGGATGGGAACTTCTCTTCTATAGTAAATGGAGGGGAGGGTACTTAGGCCTTTCATGGCCCTGATCGAACTCTAGCTACTATTGATTGGCGTAACTCACATTACTTATGTAATATTTTTACATTGCTTATGCTATAACTACCTCATATCAATTATGCAACAATAATTTTTTTTTTTTTTTTTTTTTTTTTTGTATTTATATGCATGACGATTTAGTGTGTTGCACTAGTAATTTACGCGCAGCAAAGGACTAAAGTCACATAATTCCATCCACATGCTACAAATAATTAAGAGTAAATGATAAGCAGTCAACTATTGGACACATCGTTTTTAATGTAAGTAGAGAATAATATCATTGTGACCTAATTATATTTAATAACTTGGAGAATGTTAGGTGTAGATATAGTAACATGCAAGGTTTTCAAGACATGATAAAATGTGGTTCACAAGGGAGATGTAAATACTTATATGTAGAGAGATGGGTGCAAACAAACTGCAAATGGTGCAATTATTGAACCAAAATCACATCACCTAACATCTATATATAGGTTCACAGGAGGTCCCCCCATTGTGTGGTAGTCTAGTCTGGATCAACTTTTCACAGGGCGTGGACTTGTGAAACCGGAACTCAGTAAGGTGGCAGCCACCGCGGAGGCGGGCAATTTCAAATGTTGGAACCGGGATGGGAACTTCTCTTCTATAGTAAATGGAGGAGAGGGTACTTAGGCCTTTCTTGGCCTGGATCGAACTCTAGCTACTATTGATCGGTGTACCTCACATTACTTATGCAATATTTTTACATTGTTTGTGCTATAACTATCTCATATCAATTATGCAACAATAAATATTTATTTATTTTTGTATTTATATTTATTTATTTTTGTATTTATATACATGAAGATTTTGTGTGTTTCACTAATAATTTACAAGCAGCAAAAGAATAATCACATAATCCCATCCACATGCTAGAAATAAGTAAGAGTAAATGATAAGTAGTAAACTCTTGGACACATCATAAGTAAAGAATAATATTGTGACCTAATTATATTTAATAACTTGGAGAGATGAAAAGACTTACCCAACACCACATCCATGTTTACAAATACAAATTATTTTGTTGAAGGCGCCGCGGTCATATCCACATCGTCCACTTTTATTTTGACACGTCATACAATCATCAGGAGTCCTCCAATTTAACGCAAACCCATCACCCAGAACATCCAACACCAACTTCATCGAACGGTAACCACTAGTCCTATTCAAGAACCCGTACCTTAACAAGCTCGCATCCAATACCGGCACCATCATCACCAACTCGCACCCACTCGGTATCTGAGTCGCCACCGGGCTGACTCGCACATCAAACCAAAGATAAAGACGAGAATCATCACCCTCACTGCAACTGTAATTCCCCACAATTTTTTTTGGCATGATTGTAGTAGCTACCTCAATTTGGCACTTGAAGAAGGTGAAGTTGTAGGTGAAGTTGTTACCCTGTGTAGGGAGGGTCAGGGATGCTGCTGAATCGGCGGGAGTGGAAAGGGAGGGGTTTCTGAGGGACCCACACGAGCCGGAGCGAAGGTCCTCGATAAGCTGAGGATCGAAGACGGTGATGAGGTTTTCGGATGCGTAGAGGCCGAGGACACGGTAGGAGCGGCCGGAGAGTTCGAGGCCGGCCGGGAAGGGGGAGGTGGCGTCGCAGGAGATCTGGAAGCGCGGGAGGCCACAGTCGTAGGGACGGACGCCGAAGGCGTCGAAGGAGGAGAAGGGGAAGGTGAAGGTAATGTTGCCACACGGAAAAGGTGCACAATAGTCGTAGTACTCGGGAGAATTTAAGTTTTCGGAGATAGTGAGGGTGACAAGAGTGGTGTATGAGATGAGAGTGAAAAATAGTACGGTGGGATGGAAGAATTGGAGAGAAGATAGCGGTTTGATCACCATTTTTTTTTTTTTTCTGGTAGTAATTGTAATGGTTTCTATATTTTTGTTTTCCTCTTTTCAACTTAAAAAAAATAATAATAAAATAAAAGGGTCAGTTGGCTAAATATGCCACGCTCATCCTGTATGGCTATCAAGACATATGGCTGACATAATTTGTGGACTTTTCAAAAAAAGAAAAAAACACAAAAACAAAATTGAAGTTACTAGTAAACTTTGGCGTCTTTGCCTTGTACTACTACTATAAATCCGGCTGTTTTATTGTTTTATTATATTTGCTTAACAAGAAGATCTATATCAAGAATTCTTAGATTAAAAATTGAATTGGTATATATGGTAGAAAATTAGAAGAGAGACAACATGATTTTAAAATACAAGTTTCAGTTGGATGTAAGTTAAATGGCCCCATTTGGTAATTTTTATGTTATTGTATTTCTCATTTTCAATTTTTACTTTTAGTGGTTGTTATTGTATTTCTTTATTGCTTGTGTCAAACTAATAAAAATTAAAATCAACATGAGTGATAGAGACAAGTTGAGCTTAAAATAGCTCATCGTGAGACAAGTTGAGCTTAAAATAGCTCATCGTGAGAGACGATAATGGAGCGAGTTAAGAATATGTTTGCTTTTGGTAGAAAATAAGTCAAAATAACTTTTTTTTTTCTCCCTAAAAATTGGTCATTTTGAAAATATGTTTTCAAAATTTTAAAATCTTTTGGAAACAAAAAAACAAACGACCCCAGGGTTCGCATTTAATAACCTAGCTTCTCATCCCCTTACTTTACCCCTAAACAAAGATACACTTGTGGCGACTTTATGGGCAGGTATGTGTGAACGTGTGTAGGTGACACCAATAGACTATTTCACTGAATGAGTTACATGTGCACAATTTCACATCATCTGGGTGTGGATGGGGCAAATGCTATATGTATATTCAACACCCTTTTATGACACAACGTATTTTAAAATCGTGATGGTCATGAACCAATCAAAACTTCAAAGTTAAGCTAAGCGTGCTTAATCTAGAGTAGTACCCTAGGAAGTTTCTGGTTTGGGGGAGCCAAAAACAGACAATATCCCAGAGTAGTAACAGGATGAGTGACCCCTGGGAAGTCTATAGCTCGGGGAGCCAAAAACGGATAATATTGTGTCTGGTTAGGGTGAGGGTTGTTATAAAATTGTTGAAATTATTTGTCGCATTGGTTTGTGGGAGCCAAAAATAAACAATATTGTGTCTGATTAGGGTAATATTGTGTTTGGCTAAGGTAAGAATTGTTACAAAATTGTTGAAACAATTTGTTGCAGTGACGGAATGGAGAATATCTAAATCAAATTAAATAAATATACGAAGTTCAAATCTTGTTAAAGTACATTTTAGTGTGAAGATTTCTATTTGAATTCAAATTCATTAAAGCTAAACCTTGCAATATAATTCATATTCAAGCCAAATAATTCCTTCACATGCAAGATGGCCGGTCAAATTAAGATAATGCAAGGCAATCACTAGCCTAGATATTGAGAAGCACATTAACTTTAATTTTCTCCAAATTTAGTTAAAACATATAAGCATATCGGGGTAGCTCTGTTGTACAATATGAGTCCCCAATTGATCCCATTCATTGGCATGTATAGGGTAAATATGACACTATAGTATCTCATTGATCGTCTTCTATTTCGCAAGTCTTTGCAAAATCTGCATTACAAGTTAAGGAACACACTTTGAATTAGGAATTAAACCCAAGCAGAATCGGGGCTATCCTTATCAAAGGTTGTAGGGTGCTTGGATGAAACTTCATAGCAAAAAGAAAGCAAATGAGATGAAACTTCATAGCAAAAAGAAAGCAAATGAGATGAGAGAATTCAAGTTTTGGGAGTGAGTGTGATGGAGAAGAGTGGTGCATGAGACAAGTGAGAGAAATAGTATGGTACTAGGATATTGGAAGATGGGTAGAAAATCTAGAGGTCTGATCACCATTTTTGAGTGACTGGTATGGTTTCTATATTATTATTTTTCATTTTGTATTAAATTACATACTATTTTCAAGTGATCAGTATATTAATAGTCCACCCTATGGGTACTCCTTTGCTTGTATTGGTACATAGGAATCTGAATCCTCTATTAGATGATATTAGGGTTAGGGATACCTATATACAACAACCGATGATATTAGGGTTAGGGATACCTATATACAACAACCGCCTTGCCTACCCATAGTTACCATGCATAGGTTTACTTGAGCAACGACACTTGCACATGCACAACTGTACATTTAAAAAAAAAAAAAATGAAATGAAAAAAATATTATATTGTATTGAATTGATGTTAAATACAAGAGGTATATATATATAGCTGAGGGTAGGTGTGTGAGTTTGTATATCATTAAAGTTTAATAAAACTCTTTTAGCACTCGGTTTATAAATTCAAAATATCATAATATGACATGTTTTTATGAAATATCTTTTAGCACTCGGTTTATGAAATTGTTATTTTGGGTTGAATGATATTTAAGCACAATTTTTATATTTGTTTTATCATTTACTTATATATATATATATATATATTATTTTTTCATTCAAAATTGTAGATGTTTTATTAAGTCACGCGTTATTTCACGGTGCATAAAGATTAAAGGACCAGCTAGGAATCAATTTAATAAAGGACTACACATGTTAATTGATTTTGATCGTGTTCGCGCGCACGCGCGCAAAAACTCGTTCAACTTTGACAAGTTAACTGAGTATTGCCCAACACTCAAAAATACAATTAAAAGAATGGAAGAAATATTGAAATCAATACTCAAAATCGCCAACCAAAGATTGTCTGCCTTTATTTGAGGTCTCCACTACAACAAATAAGGGTTTCAGCGGCTATCTAAACCGCCGCTATAAGGTTCCCAAAACGCCGGTAATTCCTCTACCGGCGGTTTTACCTAACAGCCGGGTTTAAAATAATTACCGGCAGATGTATACAACCGCTGGTGAAAGATGATTCAGTGGCGGTTTTGTCTGCCGGTGTATTCAAAGTAAAATGTCAATTAACTGTATACTCCGTCACTTTGAAGTGCCGGTAATGTAGACTTTTTTACTTTTGGGGGCGTGCTAAACGCCGCTATATTCTTATACTCTAGCACTTTGAAGCGCTGGTAATGTAGATTTTTTTACTTTTGGGGGCGTTTTAAACCGCTGGTAATGTGTTAATTTAAAAAACAAAATTATTTTCTGGTTTAATTTATATATTAGCAAATATTTTATTTTGTTCCCAGTTTAATGAAATCAAAGATAATTTACCAATCACAACACATCAAACAATTTAAATTTGATATGTAAAATAGAACAAAGTTGCATTAGAATTCAATAACATCCCATAACATATAAGTTTTGTTTCAAAATGTCAAGTGCTAATAAAAGGTTAAAAAATGAAACACCAAAATCTAATAAAACTTCAAAAGGAAATCATTCAAGATAAAACATCAACGTTTCGTTGGTTAGGAGGAGCTAATGTCATTTATATTCTGTAGTCACAAAATGGTTGGCACTAGGAAGAGGATGGGGTCCAAGGCGAAAGCGATAAAGACCTAAAGAAGTAAAAGAGTACGTTATCGATTTTTTTGCCAGAAGGGGTTAAAAGTTTAGTTTCAGTTGGTGCTACTTTAAAGTATAAGCCAAGGAAGGATTTAAGTGTGTGATAGGTCACCCCATATCAGGACTAACATGACTTCTGTTATTCTCAAAATTAAGAAAAGTGAGGAGGAGATTTTCTTTAGAAGGAATTTGTTTTTAAGTACGTACATTACATGTAAATTTATATGATATATACATATATTATTTTATTTGGTATTCAGGATCTTGGATGTGACTTAGTTGGGGACACAAGTATGTAATCAGCCAACAACTAGTTCTACACCACGGAGTAATAGCACTATTTTACACTAGGATTGTGACGACGGCCGTTCCAATACGCCAAACTAAATGTAGTGAATGTGTGGTTCAAGAAAAGCCTTTTATGTCAAATTTAAATGTATAAAAACCACTACCAACACCACTACTAACGTAGCAAGAGTGAGTAGGGATCGTCCCAAGGGATTATACGTGTTGGAATTTCAACTTCGACTCTAGCGTACCAAATGATTGCAAAAGAGAATTGGGTTGGTTGATTAAGCTAAATTGAATTCAACTAAATAAAATAATATGAGGTAAACAAGAGAGAGAGAGGTCTTGGGGTGTAGAGATCACCACCAAGCAATACTTTTCTATACTACTAACAAGTGATCAATTGAGGGTAATGGATGTGTTGCAATATGATAATGGTGTGTGTGCATTAGGTTGATTTAATTGGCAATGATGACAAATCAAGCAAGTATTGTCTAAACATCATGTGAAGAGCACAATATATCTAAACAATAGAGCATATATTGTCTAGACAACATGGGGATAACACAATAGATCAAAACAAGTCATTAATCCTTCATTAAGCTCACAATCCACATGCAACACAATGTTAGAGGAATATGCCATTTGGACTCACAAGCATGGAACATCAAACATCAAGAGTAGATTGTCCTCCCATCTAACATTACACTACCACTACACTAAATCTACACTACTAGCATGAAAATAAAGCTATCTAGACTAGGGGAGAGGCACAAACCATCAAGAATAGGCATAAACCATCAAATGAACCAAAATATCATTCATTAAGCATATCATCTTGATAATCTCTAGATCTATAGCATCAATACACATAGACATGCATAAAAAACACTAAATCTAGAGATAAATACATAAATATCCTACTCTAGCATACATAGACATATGTATAGAATAGAATAGTCAATTGGAGGCATTAAACCATATAAACCATGAAATAATCAAGATTTATATATACATGAATATCAAGATGTATCATACAACACTAATCCCTCAATAATACACAAGATTAGAGTATAGAAAGCATGTTTGGGGCTAACTCTAGCCCCAAGAAGATGTCTAGCCACTCATGGTAGTGATGATCCAACCCTCAAGGGCTAACTCCATGGCTGCTCCTTGTTGGTGAAGATCTCCTCCAATGGTTGCTCTAGCTTCCTCCTTTCTTTCTCTCCAAGAATAGCCTCCAAGATGATTTTCAATGTGTGACAAGAAACTCTAGAGCCCTCTCCAAAAAGTGTATCATATTCCTTATATAGGTAGGTCAAATACACCCTATGATGAGCTGTGGTCGTGCAAGGCATATT